CTGGGGTAAACAATGAGCCAGAAAAGCAATTAAAGCAGAAACAGATGAGGATAATTAGAAGGGAAAGCTCCAAAGGGCAGAGTGAGACAGTGAAACTAAAACAAAGCATTGAGCTATTTCTGTCAATCTCTTGATGTCTGAGAAAAACAGTCTTTTTGGTCCAGACTATGGAACCACACCCTGAGTAAGACAAGCTGTTCTCAGCACTGTCCCCCTTGTTTGGATTCCATGGCATCTCTTGGATGGTGCTATTGATTTGCCCACATGGGGCAAAGGCCTAGTAGACATCTGCACGTAGACAGATGATCCGCAGATACCTGCAACTTTACTTCAGCAAAACTTAACTCATTATCTTCCTTTAAGAAGCTGGCTTTTCTCAGTATTCACCACTATAGTTTAATAGTATCAAATCCATCTAATTGTCTAAGTTAAAAAGCAACTCTCAGTTTCTAATAATAAAATTCTTTCTTCAAGCTTTCTATATCAGTTTCTGTTCCACCTCCTCCCTCAATATTTAAATCATCAAATGAGTGGATTTTTTGAATGAAGACATGTCACTGGCATCATGGGAGAAAAAGCACACTGTTGGCCCTGACAGTTCCCTGGAAGCCCTAAGAATATATTAAGCCAAAGTCATGGGGTTGTCAGGGTTGGCTTCCCTTACTTTCTAGCAATCTGGGAAGAACTACAAGAAAAATTTTCTTATTTTCTGAGAGAAAGAAAGATCGTAAAACTTTGGAGACATCTAAAACTTTTCAAATAGAGAAATACAAAGGTACTAAAAAATGAGATCATTTTCCTACTTTGTTCTTGGAGAAGTTGGTCCTAAAGAAAAAAAGGCTTAAAACTTTTGAACACTAGCCTAGAAAAAAGGAAAAACAGAAAAACAGATTGGTTAGTTTACTCTCTTCTTTTATTTTCCTATCTCCATGCTCCTTTGACCTTTAAGATGTGTATCTTTGTTCGAAAGACGGAAGTGATAATTGCATAATTTGAGTTTTCAGTAAAGCTCTTATAAAATGGAACTTTTATTGATATATCCCCAGCCTCAGTGCAGTATTTCTTATTAGAAAAGCACTGACATCCATTTATATAATTTAATTTTCTTGGCATGTGCAACTCAGAAGAGACCCAACCCTAGTGTGTTTGTTTTATATAACTTGCCGTACAACCTTAGGCAAGTTATACAAGCTACTCTCCACTTTAGTTTTCCCCTTATGTATGCTAGGGGAAATAGTGCTGCCTACTTTATTAGATTGCTTTGAGAAATAAATTAATTCTGGCACATAATAAGTACCTAAATAATATGAATAGTCCGCTAATAATTACAATGACAATTCAGCCTCATCAATTTTGAGTCAAGGAATGAGCCCCTAAAACCTTCTCTACTTCTACCATTACAAACAGGAATAATGAGAGAATATCTGCAAGGCACCCTTAATTAAAAAACGGTTTAGAGTTCAACTTCTCTTTCTGGGCCATATTTCCTTCTATTTCTTTAAAGCAAATTCTGTGGGAACATCTAAATGCCGATGGAAACAACAGCTGCCTACCCCATCCCCTCCCCATCCAAATTCTGCTTTTTAGAGGCAATCCTTTTAAGCTACTTCTTCTGCTTTTTCCAAATAACATACAGTCATAATTTAATTTTTTCCTTATATAATACTTCAATTTTAGAACATATTCATTTCCATGTATTAGTGATAAGAATGGTGCTAATTATTTTACACACACACACACACATATCACTATTTTCATTTTCCTAAGAGAATTACATTAGTGTGTGTTTTTCCATTATGTTCACTACTGAGCCCTGTGATATAGTATGATTACAGTTCCTCATTACACAACTTTTTGGTTTTCCTAAGAGGTAACACATGGTCTCTGTTTGGGCCACTATAACATAATATCACAGGCTGAGTTTATAAACAACAGAAAATTTTTTCTGGAGGTTGGAAGTCCAAGATCAAGGAGCTGGAAGATTGAGCGTCTCTTGACAGCCCCTCTTCTGGGTTGCAGATCTTATTATATCCTTACATGGCAGGAAGTGGGTGAGGAAATTTCTGGGGTTCTGTTTGTAAGGGCCTAACCCCATTGACTTGACTTTGTTCTCATGACCTAATTGCCCAAAGGTGCTACCTCAGAGTTCTGTCCAGTATCATCAGTTTCTGGGTTGTTTCAACACATGACCTTTGAGGAAACCAAACAGCCTGGAACAACATACATGGGTTTTCTCCAGGTCTTTTTTTCCTAGGTACCTTAGAATTATTGCATACTCAAATTCTTTATGTGACTTATCCATCAAAATGTTACCACGATAATCTCCAACACATTAAGTCATCTACCAGTCCCCTTCCCCTCTTTTTTCAAGCCACATCCATGGTTCCTTTGCTACTTTGCTGTCTTGGAATTTGCCATTATCCTGAGAATTTCTCTCCTTGGTTGGAGCTGCTTTTCCCGGATCTTACATCTTCCTCTTACTGCATCTTCTAGCTATTTTCCTATTTTGCTAGCACAGAGGCTCTAGGCTACCTCAGAAAGACGCAGATTTGAGTCCTTGCATGGCAAAAGCTGTGGTTGATAATAACACTTCTTTCATTGTACAGTGTTTTCTGCTTATCCACTTTTAGTCTTCCCTGGTTTCGGCCACCTCCAGTCAACTGCAATACAAAAATAGTAAATGGAAAATTACAAGAATAAACATGGATGAATTTTAAGCTATACACTATTTGAGTGGCATGATTCAGTTTCCTGCCACCCCGGTCTGTCCTGCTCAGGACGTGGTCATCGCCGTGTCAGGGGTATGTGCTCTGTACATGCTGCCCCTCCTCCATCGTCTGGCCACTGTCTTGGTTATCAGATGGACTGTTACGTTATAGCAGTGCCTGTACCGAAGCAGCCTTCATTTTACTCAGTAATGGCTCCAAGAGCAAGATAGCCTCTAAGGAACAATGTGGTCCTTACCACTGTACCTTTATGTATAAAACTTTCTTTACCTTCATACTTAATTAAAAATTATTCTGTGTTTAGAATTCTGAGGTGGGAACTATCCCTCGGAATTCTGAAGTCTTTGATGTTGCCTGCCTTCTGGTTTTAAGTATTATCATTGTGGTGGTGATTTGGTTGCCTCTTCTGCATATAAACTCACATATCTCAGTACTGGGAAACTTTCTTCATTCATTTCTTGGATAATTTCTTCTTTTTGTGTCTCTTTCTGGAATTCTTTTTTGTTACTTGGATATTATAAGTCTGAGTTAATCTTGTAAATTTCAATTATCTTTTGTAATTCCATCTTATTCTTTTTGTATTATACACATTTCTTCTATTGAATTTTATTTGTTCACTTATATTTTAATTCATAATATGCTTTTGTCCTCTAAATGCATCCTTTTAGTAACACTTTATATTTCTTTTCTCAGGATATTAATCATTTTTAAAGAACATTTTCCTTTCTTGAATTACCTAGTTTTTCTAAATTATATATTATATTACTTTGGCCTCTATCTTTCATGCTGGAGCTTTTTTCTGTGTGTGTGTGTGTGTGTGTGTGTGTGCGTGTGTGTTGTCTTAGCCCATATGTTCATATTTAAGAGTGATATACTTAAAACAGTATATATTATATTATATTTAAAAATCCACATGTGTGCAGTATGGTGGAACCAAAGGTTGCTCTCAATTTATGGTGAAGACCTGCACTTCTACCTCCTACATTAAGAATTATGGTCACCCTTGACAAGCGCATGGCCTCCTCTCATCCCAAGTCTCTATTCAGTTTATCCCAATAACAAACTAGCCTTTCGGTAAGCTTGTTGAGAGCTAATTACCTGGTTATATGAAGTTCAGAGGACACTAAGGATGAAACTTTTTTAGGAATTTTTATTGATTTGCACCATCTTATTTTTCAAATCTACTGCCAGTCTACCTCCCTTCATCTGAAGTTTTTGGCACTTCCAGTTTCTGAGGTTGCTGGAGGTTTTGCAGTGTGAGGACTGGCTTCTGTTGGTATTCTATCCAAGATATTTTGGTGTCATCTTACTCTATTAAGGCACTCACTGTGATGGTCAAGCATAACTGTCAACTTGCTTGACTTGGGAAGCTCCTAGGAGATTAGTAAAGTACACTTCTGGGGTGTTAGTGCAGGTTGTGGAGGCCCAGATGGTCTCTGGCCTTTTCCTCCCTGGTACTGCTCCCCTCTCTGCTTCTGGGTCACCATGAAGTAGGCTGCCTTGTTCTACCACTGCATTGTAGCCAGATGACCATAGACTAAATCCCTCAAAACTCTAAACTTCTCATTCTCTAAGTTGTAAGGATCAGTACTGTGCCTTGGAAAAGCTGACTAATACAGTTACTATTCATATGTTTGTTTTGATTTCTACATTTAATTTAAAAAGTTATCAACAAATAATGGACATCATCTTGCCCCTGCCACTTCAAGCTTATATTCTAGGAGATGAGACACTATATAAAAAAAATGTAAAATATGGCTAATGGAAATAAATACCGTGCAGAAATAATAATAAGACAGACAGTGATGGAAATGTTATTTTATATGAGATTTGCGGTAACATTTGGATAGAAATCTGAAGAAATTTGGGGAGGGAGAGATGCAGACATGTACTACAAGCACAGGGACCTTCAAAGGCCAAGAGTCTGAAGTAGGACATGATCAGCCTGTGTAAGGCACAGCAGAGTGGCCATGTAGCTGGAAAGGAGGAGGTGAAGTTGGGATGGTGGTGGTGACAGTTCATGTAGGTTGTGTGGGCCATAAAAAGAACGGTAAATTTAATTAGCGAGATAGGAGGGCACTTATTGGTTCTGAGTTGGGAGCAAAGTGATCAGGCATATTACTTATCTCCAAATGTCACCTCCTTTCCTAAGCATTCAGTTACTTAGCTCTACTGATGAAGGTAGTGTCATAGACTAATCAGGCTGATATAACAAAATTCCATGGACTGGATGGCTTATAAACAACAGAAATTTATTTCTGACAGTTCTGGAGGCTGAGAAGTTGAAGATCATGGCCTTGTAGATTAGATGTCTGGTGAGGGCCCATTTCCTGGCTCATAGATGGTCATTTCCTACTGGAAGAAAGAGGAAGGCAGCGATCTGAGACCTCTTTCATGATCACATTCACAAGGACTCTGACATCACAATTTATTTACCCCCCAAAGTCCTACCTCTTAATAGCATCATATTTATGAGTAATAATACCAACATATGAATTTTGGTGGGACACAAACTTTCAGCCTGTTGGGTAGGTACAATTCCTGAGGTTTATAGGGTCATTAAATTACATGTATTTTTGAGTTTCAGGTCTTCATCCCCTTAAGTTGGATTACAGACTGAAAGACAAGTGATTCTCACAGTCAGTATAGCTGTGAACACATAGCAGCTATGATGATTTAGATCTACAGTGTCCCCCCAAAGCCTTCTGTGCTCAGTCAGGGGCAGGCCTTTAAAATGGTGGTTGGATCAAGTGGGCGCTGTACTCATTGGTGGATTCATCCACTGGTGATTTCAGCAGCTGAGTGTGTTGTTGGTCTGAAGAGATGGGTAACAGGGATGTGACCTGGAAGGGCCTGTCTCCCGCCCCAGCTCCACTTTTCTCTCTCTGCTTCCTGGGCACCATGAGGTGTACAGCTCTCCTTCACCAGACCCTTCCACATGTCATTTCTGCCTTGGAGCCAGCTGACCAAATAATGAATTCACTGGAACAGTAAGCCAGAATAAATCTCTCCTTCAAGTTTTGAGTGTTTGGTATTATGTCCCAGTGACAAGACAGTGAGTAAGGCAAGCTCCTAAATAAATACTTGTGGATAAATCTGAGTTCTAATACTGATTTTGCCACTGGGGCAGTAGTTGTGGAACATACATCTTTAAATTTGCCAAGTCATACTTCCATGAATTAGCTTCTTCATAAAAAAAATCAATATGGCCTAGTACGCTCAGATAGCAATGAAGCGTCTTCCTTGAAACTCTGTTAGGAATATTTGCCCTCTGACTACAAGAATGTGAATGCTACTTAGGCAACAAGTGTGGTGGCTATTCTTGCATGCTGCAACTCTTCAAGGTTTGACTGTCAGGGGGGCGATGTGGTAGCAAATCTCTGAGTGCAGACAGTGTCATCACCACACATCAGTTCTGAGAACTGAAGACTCACAGAGTGTAACCAGAGGTACAGCTCAGCCCACAGGAAACACCCAACTTGCACTCAGTCTCCTCCTCACTGTGGTCTGGCAGGACAGGTGATACCTGTCTTCATGAATTTTTCATTTCTGTTTCAAACCAAATTCATAAGCCGTTATTGACCAGTTGGGAACATGCGGACAATCTCTTGTGCCTTTATTTGTTTTTATAACAGCAACAGACCATGGTGGCCACTGCTCTTTGTTTATCTGACAGCATATTTTCATGTAAAAAGCTATTTTCTTTCAAAGTAGTTTCAGAATCTGTATCTTATTAGTCCTCCAACCATCTTGTGTAGTGGTTAGTAAAAATGGCTAGATCCCTAGGGCAAATGGGTCGGAAAGCCTGGCATGTTAAGCAAAGTGCTTACCCTAAATCATGGAAAAGTGAATAAATGAACAATGATGAGCTTCTGCTGGAACAGAGTAAAAAGATCACATTGTTTGTGAGATTATAATGCTATTTATTTGCTAGCATGTAAGTATTTGGTTTGGTTTGTCGATCTAGACAACCCCAACCTCTTCACCAAGGGCCTGTGAAGTCCAGACAGTAGGGCAAACCAGTATGTGTTTTATGCTGCATTTTAAGTTATTTTTGAAATAGAAAAACCTTGAAAATATGAAAGCAAGACAAATCAATACCACCACATATTTTTAAAGCTGTATATTGTGTATAAAATTAATAACCTCATTTACAATTGACAACAAAAGCAGAGAAACGTGAAAAAGAAGGTGATGAAATACAACATCTTAATAGGATTGAGCAAATAAGAACAGTCAATGCAAAATGGCTTATTTCTTTATTAAAATAATGCCAGTTCGGACTTTGATGACTATTTAGAAATTAAGGTCAGTATATTACAAAATAATATTTGCTAAAAAAGTAGTCAGAATACTTAACTAAATTTCATGGGCTTAAAAATGTAAATGCGGGGCTGGGGATTTAGCTCAGCGGCAAAGCGCCTGCCTGGCAAGCGCAAGGTCGTGAGTTCGGTTCCTGGTACCGGAGAAAAACCAAAAAAACCAAAAAAAAAAAAAAAGTAAATGCATGTAACAAGCAATATTAGTCAAGATACTATTTTAAAATTAATTTTGACCTAGAGAAGCCAGCAATCATAAAGGAAAAATATAAATGGATAAATATCATAAATTTCTATATGCAAAAGAACACCAATACTGAGTAACAGCAAACTCATTGAAATTTCATATTTTCATAATATAGGGCAGTAATATACTAGAGATATGAAATCATTTATAAATTAATAAAAATAAGCATATTCCAGTAGAAAGGTGAACAAAGACCTTAAAGAAGTGATTCACTGAAGAAGAAATATATATGACGCATAAATTTACCATTGGCTATTTTTTCTCATTATTAACCAAAGCAATGAAAGCTTAAATAATATGTATTTCACATATTAAATTTGCATCTATGAAGAAGATTGAAAATATCCCGTGCCCATGAAGTTGGAAGAAAAGGGAAAAGTTCATAGATAAGATACTAATATAGTCCTTTTTTCAAACACTAATTTCAGAAAACACATTCCACAGGTTTTAGATGCAAATCTTTGCTCATTCCATTACAGTACTAGGAATTTTGTTTAAAACCGAACAAGTGAGCCAAGAGAGAAATACATTAATATTCAAAGCAGCATTGTGTACAATGTATTCATTGTCAAGTAAATGGGACTACCCATTGTAGTTGAACCATACAACATCTATGCAGTCATTAAAATTATTTTCCATATTTGCATTCATTTTTACAAAATATAATCTCTTATTACACAAAATTCTCAGTATTATAAGGCAGTAGAAAAATGAAAATGCTCCCAACAATATTCCCAAACCTTGGAGACATGTCTTATTAACAGATAGGTAGTTATCATTTGAAAAAATTACACATATACAAATATAAATATATATCTATAAATATGCCATTGACATAAATGAGAACATATTCTGAATTATGTACTGTAATTTGTTTCTCACTTAAAACATAGTTTGCACATCTTTGTCTGAGTGGTTGATAGATGGCCATTGGTATAGAAAAATGTTTATAGCATATGAGATGCTTAAAATAAAAGGCAGCTTACACAATTGCATTGGAGCAGCGATTCTTGAGTGGATGGATGGGAAAGGGGATTATCATTCACTCTTCTTCCCTCTTCTTTTCAAGAAATCAGTGTGCCTTTGCAGAAGTCTTACTGGGGTAATACAGGGAAACAAGCAGTTTGAGGATAACCTGCAAATGCTTCTGAGTCAACTCCCCTATTCCTTTCTTTCTTCCAAGACTATTAGATTGAGAATCATGTCTATATTTTTTTCCTTTTAGGAAAATTAATACATATGTAGATAAATATATACATAGAGAGAAATATTAAAAACCATTAACTAATTATCTTTGCAGGGAAGATATTTGCGTAAATTTTATTTTCATAATTTTTGGATTTTTATTTGCTGGATTCTTTATTAATGAAGACATTATTTTCATTCTAAAACCAGATAAACAAGAAATTTGAAGTCCTTGAAAAATGTGGTTAGAGAAATCAGGTGACAGCAGTCCAATAGGCAACCACAATCAAAACAAGCTAAAAAAGTTCATAACAATGGATATCTTTTGTCCTAGACCATAATTATATGCTTTAACAAAAGAAGTTAGATAGTCAAGTTCATGGCATGAATAACCTAAAAGACCAGAAAATCTTTCAGCATTAACAGCTGGAAAATAATGGCTAGGGGTCAAAAAATCCAATTATACTTCTAAAATCATGAACTATAATGATAATCTTACTAAAATGGAAGCATCCCAATTAAGTTCATTAAACAAATTTAGAAGAAAAAACATACATACCTTTATAAGATGGTCTGAAAACTTGGAACTCAGTACCAGAAAAGAATGAGATTATATGTCAATAGGTAGAACAGATACTACACTTGATCTTAGCCAAAAGGTCAAGAAGCAGTCATCAATGGGTAGAAGAAAGAATTCCTGCAAAATAAAATTAATACTAGATTATTAAGGAAAAAGAATTTTGGAGCATGACTGTAAGCATTTTAGTCTGACATTAGGAAATTCAACCACAAATTTCCCCATAAAACATCCTGCACTACCTCTGCCAGAGACAAAGACCTGAGCTGAATGAATTTGGGTTTGACCAAAATGGTCAGGGTTTTTTTTGTTTTGTTTTTTCCATTATAAATTCCAAATTGATGGAAAATAATATAATGATAGCTTACAAGTTATTATTTGCACTCAAAATTGGCAATTTAAGGATGTAAATGGAAATATTAGTGGAATAGCTTTTTATAGGTTTCCTAAGATTCAAAAATAACACAAAAGGCAATGTTACTCTATTTTTTATTTTCTATGCATTTATTGTTCAAGTTAGACTTGTGGTTTGTCTGAGTTTGGCTGTATTTTGCTTGGTGTTTCTTATTTCTGGAATTGGTAACATCATCCTTCTCCCCAAATAAAGAAAAATGATTAGGGAAGATAAGAGGAATCATTATAGATAAAAAGGGAGAAAACGTGGGACTAAAAGTGGGATGGAGCCAGGAAGGAATGAAAGAATAGTTTAAAATATGTTGAAGAGAGAAAGAGTTTGAATCTGATCAGACCTGTGTCTTTTTATTTTTATTTTTTTACCATGACATTATCAGTTGTCAAAAAAAGAATGTTAATTTAGATGGAAATTTCTTTTGCAAAAAGATCTTAATCTACATTTTTGTTACTTTTCTTTTTTTCTCATCCAAGAGTTAGTAGAAATCTTCTTCCTGAAGTTATATCTATCACTACAATAATCCACTATTAAATTGTTTCAGTTCATAATTCTTTGTTCCAATACATGCCAAAATTATGACAAGTCATTCTTTTGTTAATATGCTTCTTTCCTTGTTCCTTTCTTGCACGAACACACAAATACCTCTTCTATTTAGAAATTTACCTGATCTAGGATCTATTGCCCCACAATCTCCACCCCTGTTGAAGTCATGCGTTTCTGAATATGACCTCGTAGTCTAGACTTACTGTTGAGGTGTTTACTGTCACGTACTGGATCTTATAAAATCAGCTATGTGCATGTAGATGCAGGCCTGCTAGAGGATTTTGCAAGACAAATGGTGACGCAAACATATCCATCCACGTTCTGTTTGCTGGGAAGAACTGACCCCACAGAGTGTAAGACTGGTTACTGTTTTCCAAATATTTCTAGTAGACGAATTAACAACTTGAGAGCCAGACTTAATTGCTCTTATTTCATCAGTTAGTAACAGCAGGCAAAAGTTTTTCCTTTAAATTAGATCAGATACTTTAATCTTTTTGTTGTTGTTGTTATGAAAGTGTTTGGTTTTCAAAATGTTGCTTTATTATGCAGCCCTTTCTTCTTTGAAACTTAGCTTTTAAGAGGTTTAAGAAAATGGTTGTGTAGTATTACATACAGTCCAAATGGCACAGGAAGGGTACCAAACACCATCTCCAACTAGTCATTTTTTAGTTCATTTAAACACCGACATACATTGAGGAGGTATGTGCAGTAAGAATAATCTAAAACACGGAAGAAAAAATGAATAAGACAGGTTTCCTTCTTTTAGGACCTCAAGGACTGATTGAGATTCTCTCACATTACAAACCACCACACAGACAGAACAATGCTGATGGAGACATATCCTCTATGCGCATGATTGAGAAGGGTCATACGAAGCTGTTTATAGGGTGTGATGTTTGTGAAATCTTCAAAGACTGAGCAGGAATTTGCCAAGTGCACAAGAGGGAAACATTCCAGGCAAATGCAGTAGTTTGTTTAAAAATCTGAAGATCTGAAACAGCATGGTATACTTGGAAGACTGCAAGGAGACCCTTAGGATCGAAACATGTGATGGCAGAGAGATCTAATTAGCAGGAAGGACCTAATCTTGAAGGGTCATTTATGATCACCAACAAAAGGAGCTGCTGCTTTTTCTTATGTGTGATGAAAGTCCCTGAAAGGTGTTTAGCAGAGATGTAGTGTGACTAGTTTTATGCATTAGTTACTAGAAACAAAAGTGTAGACTACAGGTCTCAGAACAAAGAAAGGTGGGATAGGTTCAGGCAGGGAGACCTGGTAGGGAGCTACTTCAATCACGTAGGTGTGAAATGATGAGACTGGGGAAGCTTTAGTCATGGGGTGGGTTCTGTGTGTATCCATAGACTTATCTAAATTTGATGACTAATTGGATAAGTGAGTAACAAAGAGGAAGTGATTCTGAACATTCTGACTTGCATTCTAAGGTACAATTAGATGAAGGGAAGTAGGATTGAAAAGAGGATAAAAGGACATTTGATTTGGGGCATGGTAAGTTTAAGGTATTTGTGCTCTATCTTGCAGGACGCCTACCTATTAGGAACCTAGGTCTGAATTCAAGAGCAGGCTCTGTGCCAAAGAGAAAAAGTGAAGAGCTGTGGAATACATGGTACTTGGTATTGTAGATGTGGACAAGGCACTTCTGGATGAATGTATCAGGGGAACGGCAGGCACAAGGACAGAAGCTTGGAGGAAAAGTAGGGTGCAAAATAACCAAATACAGAAAAGAAGCTAAAAAAGGGAAAAGATTTAGAGCAAGGAAATAGAAGTGGAAGATGAAGTAATTGTCTCATAAGAGAAGTACACATTTCAAGAGCATTTGAAAAATATTTTGAATTCTGTTCAAAATAAACTGGGACGCTATTGAAAATTTCTTATGAAATTGTGCAGCTACAAGGTCTTTGGGGGCCATGACAAGAACAATATTCGGGGAGTAGAAGAGGAGCAAGTCAGATGGCAATGGATGGAAAAGTAAGGAGGAGGAAAATGGATTATGTTGTACGAATATGCATAGGAGCCCTTCCTTTATTTCTACCTCCGCCTACTACTCCCAACTGTCTTCGTTTTTCTCTTCTTCTTTCTCTCCTCCATCTTTTCCTTCTTCATCTTCTGCTTCTGCTTCTTTTGACTCTGTCTCTCTAAGGAAGGAAACATTTTAGAGCTAAAATGAAGGAAATCTCTGTAGAGATGCTACAAATTTGAGAGGTTGCTGTAAACATCTGGTTTGGGGAATAATTCTTTCATTTTAGGTGTTTCTTAAGTATAGTTATATTCCTCGGAGCAGTCCTGATCTTTAGTAGACTGACCTCTATGACAGTAGCCTTTTGTCCTGCATCAAGATTCTACTCTACTGACATGGAAAAGTACATGCCATCACCCTTGTGCCTAAAACTTCCAGCATACTGGAATTGAAAATCACTCAAATTGAGTCTCACTGGGGAAGAGCTTAACTCCTATAGTAGTATTTTGAGTTATTTTTCCTTTATAAGGTTCATTTGATAGATTAAACAATGATTTCAAAAACTACTCAGTATTCACCTATTTTATATAATGTTTAAAGTATTGGGGTAATTTTATGATAATTAGGTACTGAATACCTGAGCCTCCTTCTTTAGTTTCCTTACATATATACAAAGAAATGCAATGTGTCAACGCTTTGAACCTACCTGGTTTTTATATTTGGGAAACTTATGGCTTCTTTTAGGTATTACTTTAGGAATTTCCACAGCTTTTAAAACTACTTTTCTTACTTTCTCATCATCCCCTTATGTGGAAAGTAACATATATGTTATTATCATAAATCCTGCCATTTGTCCCAGGAAGTATAGCATTTGCAAACCGTTTTTGCTGACTACAAAGGTTTTTGAATCTCACTGAAATGAACTTCTCTCATATCTCCGTTTCTACTTACAGCCCCTGTTTTACAGATGAAAGACCTGAAATACACAGTTTCACAGAATTTTAGGGCAGAGAGGCATCTTGAAGACTAAAATTCCTTTTGCTAATAACTAAGAGTAGAATGACGGTAACTGGTTCAGAGGAAAGCTGTCTGCAAATCAGGCAGATTCTATTATCTGTTGTCCTCATTCATTCTTCTGTAATCAATACTGTTTCCTCCCTTTTCTGGCCAGAAAATTAGAATATAGCCCAAACTCATATATTACAGCATTAAATATAACTACATACTACATATCTTTCTCTCCAACCAGAGACACAAATCCACAGAGAAGAGGCACTGATTGGCTTGGTTTGGTTTAGATTCCCTCTCCTTGTCCAATCAGATGTGGTCCAGAAATGGAGGTTGTGTTGTCTAAACATGGCTTCCAGCTCATGCCTTTGTAGTTGGAGCAGAGAATATTTAAGGAAATCATTATAGCTAAGTAAATATTCCACATGTGTCCATCAGGAAGTACTCCCATCTTTCCTTCACTCCCCATCCAAAACACACCATCTAAAATTTAAGAAAATATTCCTTCAATGATTAAATTATTTGGCCAAAATTATAAAGTGAGAATTCCCAGTCTAGTTTTTGTATATTAACTACATGATTTATCTTTCTTAGCAAAAGCCTGATTAACTTAACTATGAGAAGTACCACACTGTTCTTTCTGTAACACTCTGACTCTCCCTTTCCCTGTTTTCCTATTCATTTCTAAATTAGATACAATGCTAGATTTAAATTAGAGAAACTTACTTTTTCCAAAGACTTTAACCTATAGCACATTGATTTATTAGTTAACTCAGTGTGGCTGTGCTCTGTGGCGTTTTATTCCATCATGGACCCTCTCACGAGTGTAGTGTGTTTGTGTGAGCCTTGAAGATGTTTGAGCTTTCAGCCCCTTGACATAGATTGTCTTAAAGAAATAGATAACCATTCATTCTTAGGAGATTCGAATGTAGACAGGCACAGAGATGAGAGCTTAAATATGTCTGTAGGAAACAGAGATGGAGCAGAAACTGGCCTGGATGAAGCAGGCAGACTCTCAAGGTGGAACTGCAGGGAATGAAAATGGGTGAGTTTAAAAAAAAAAACTGAGAGTACTAGGCCAAAGAGATACTACGTATCTCCTATCCACAGTTTGCTGCACTCTAAGTTCTTGGGCTTGAGCATTATGAGAGAAAAGGGTCTTGATCTCTATAGAATAACAAATCTTAGCAGAAGACATGAACTCAAAGCTGCTTCAGTAGTGTAGGTAGGAGATAACAGTTTAGATAGCAGTTGTAATCCTGATGATGAAAAAAACATAGAAAAGAGAAATGGCAGTTAAGAGAAAAAGTGTTAGACAGTGTCATATGGAAATGAAAAATTATAAGATTAGTGTTTCCATGAAGAGGAAGAAATTGGGAAAAAAATGGCAAAACCTAACGTTCTGTTACAAAGGTGGCTTGGTTTTCACATTGGCAAAGCGCAGTTCGGTCTCTGTCTTCAATCTGACCGCCACTTGCTCACAGCGCTAGCGAGTTATTTGCTGTGCAGCTCACCAAGGAAGGGACAGGCAGCCATATGGGGTCTTCTGTATTTTATTCATTATAGCTTCTTTTATTTGTTGTTTTAATGTATTTAATTTACTAAATTATTACAGATGTTTTCTATTACAATGCTAATAAGAAAAATATGAAAAGATGCCCAACTTCTTTTAAGTCTAGCAGAAGTGGAAACATTTTTCCTTCTGCCTGTTCAAGTTTCAGTCGATCTTTTTTGAAAATGCTGACTTAAAATGGAAGGTCTATACTAATTTTGAGTAGAGAGAAAGGGGAACAAATTTTAAGTGACATTTTGAAGGAATTATTATGCATTCAGCTTTGAGAAGGTTCAAGACGTTGAGACTTTGGAAGCCCTGTGAAGATCATCACAAAGTGCACTGCTAGTTTTTTCTAGTATATTCGCAACTATTTAAGAACATGTTTTATATATAGGAAATGCTTACAGCATGCTAGCCCTTTTTTTTGGCTAGTATTTGTACAAACATGTGAGCCTCTTAGACTCAGCTTTTGTAGATGGCTTTTGGGGGAAGTACAGTTCATGTTGAACAAAGGGAAACAGTCTCTCCAAGTACTGTGTGATGTGTGATTAATATAGTGGATTAAGCTACTTGGGGAAAAAGACAACAAAGAAAAGAAACTTTCCTTCTGGGTTACATGATTTGTATGAATTAAACATGTTAAGGTGGATACAGAAGGTTCGCTTAAGGTTGTAGTCTCCAAACCATGGGATGTATATGATAACTATGACAGATTTTCTTTGAACTTTTCCTTTAATGGGAGCTCTGTCACTGTAGAAAGCAATTCATATTTAATTAAGGGGCAGGAAGCTCCCAAATCTGATTTTATCCTGAGCTGCTCTATGGGTTGTCTCTCAGGACATTAAAGCTATTGAATGAGGATTTTGTGTGTATACTAAATCATAACCCAATAAGGTACATAACAATTACAACACAGCATTACGGTTTCTCTCTATGAGGGATAACTCTGAACTTACATGTGCACTTCATATTGAATTGTTAGATTCTTGCTTACTTTGATGTTGTTTTTAAAAGCACCTTCAAATCAGGGCTAAATTTAATAATAATAAGTGTAAGTACTCAAACAGACTCAATTGTTCTTTCCTCTATTCCAGTTGTAGTTTTCCTAGTTATTTTTAGTACTAAATGACCCCAAAGTGATCAATTCATCTGAAACTACAGAGAATAATTTAAATGCAATTAAATGAGAAAATTCATGTAAAAGAAATCTTTGCAAAGAGTTAAGAAACTTTAAGTTATTATCAAAGTACTAAATGTCCCAAAGACACATTTATACAAACTGGACTACAAAGTGAGTTCAAGTCCAGGTTGAACTGCATAGTGAAACCCTGTTTCAAAAAGACCAAAGAGAGAGAGAGAGAGAGAGAGAGAGAGAGAGAGAGGGAGAGAGAAAGAGAGAAACATATTTATAAATTTCTATAAGATTCTTGCCAAAGGAATAGCAGAACATCCAGGCATGAGAAGGACTTTTAACTAACTGATTTGTTCAAATTGTACAAAACATGCCTGATATTTTTGTGATTTAGTGTGCCACTCTGCAGAACAAAGTACTATATAAATATTATGTAATATCTCCAGGTAATAATGACATGATAAAATAATAATTGTGTAGAAATGGAGGAAAGGAGATGAGCAGAGAGGGATAGAGGAATAAAGAAAGAATCAAGCTGTGTTATGTACATGTACCTACTCCCTAAGCTAAATGTAAACATGCATTGCAAACATGTTAGTAGAATAAAAATTTATAAACCAAAGTTGAAATTTTTAAAATAGAAAAATAATCGTTAATTTCCATTGCCTGACATAGGTGACTTGCCCAAGCCACATATTCAACTTTATTCAGTACAAATTATATTTACCTATAAAAGATATTATTAGTAAGTATCCCCAAATTACCAACTCTGATGGTTATATAAAAAACTGGAAATTTTACTTCAAATGAATAATATATTGGGATGATTGAGTGGCTATTTTGTTCTCCTTCCAAATATGTTGCTTTGAGTAAATACAGCTTACAGATCTCCCTAACACATTGTTACCATGGTACTGTGTGCTGTAAATGCAATAGATGGGTTAAAGAACAAATTCAAACTACAGCCATGTATTCTTTTGTTTTATATATTTAGGTCAGACACTTAACATGATTTAACGTATTTTCTTTGTGGTTTAGTTTCCTTTGTGATTATTTCTTTTATTTAATGGAAGCATTAAAATGTCCCAAGGACTGAAAACAAATTGCAGCTCATTACTAGAAGTACCCTGTTAGTTTTCCTTTGGGTTAAGATTAAACATTCAGAACGATCTTGGACAAAAGGACACAACAGTGAGACATTGACATTTTCCTAACAAAACATGGTGATCGCATCTACAGGCCATTCTTTCACACACCTTTGCATGCAAGTCTCATTACAAACTAGGAAGGAGAAAATGTGAGCTCTACAGTGATTCTGAGTATAACATGGATCTGCACCTCCCTGGAGAAGCCTTAGAAAGTGCTTACTTCCAGCACTGCCCTGCAGCTACTAAAGCCTCCCTGGAGGTACAGAGGGACCCCTGGATCCAGAACGAAGGAAAGAAAACTCAACATCAGAGCTGAGCTTAGGACTGCTGTGTGCTTAGCAATGTGCAAAGGGTGGTGTGTCTCCATCTCCGCCCGAAGTGTTAAAGTTGCAAAGAGGTTTCCGTTCCAGACTTACCTTCCCGCCCCTCAGTATGTGTGCGCTTCTAGTTCTTTATTCAGCTCACACTCTGCCAGCAACTAGGTCTGTTTTAATGGGACGGATAATTCGCATTTCTCAGAAAAGGTGTGGAAATATTTGCTTTGTAAGGCAGGCTTTTAAAACATTCAGTTATCTGTTTGTTTAGTAAGTAGCAGAAATACATTTTCTTGTTCTTGGATTTTATGAACATAATGTTTTCATCAAATCCTAAAGTGAATCCTTAACAGAATATTCTCTGATTTTACCCAGCAGTTACCATAACCTTCACACCTGGATAAATTTAGAGTTCTTTTGAACGAAATGAAATCACTGAGAGCCTAAGTTATTGTACAGCTGTTAATAGTTTTAACAAGTTTGTGGAATTACCCAGGGGATGAAAATATGATATATTTCAGGTCCTTATATAAAATCCATTACATTGGGAACAACAGTTTTATTTTTATAAAGAGGAGGCATGTTTACTTTCATAGGATTAGCATTTCAGTTAATTTTAAAACTAAGAATCATCACTTTTCTTAAATTAAGATAAAGAATTCTCTAAGAAATAGATCCATCCAAAATTAGTAATGACTTTCTTCTTATTCATAGTCTCATTATGGATAGAGACTATATTTATTTATTTATTTATTTATTTATTTATTTTTGGTTTTTGGTTTTTCTCCGGTACCGGGAACCGAACTCACGACCTTGCGCTTGCCAGGCAGGCGCTTTGCCGCTGAGCTAAATCCCTAGCCCCCGATAGAGACTATATTTAGAACTGACATGAAAAGTGTCTTTTGAAAACTTTTATTATTTGAATCACAAGGTTCAATTCTTTTGCAGTGTAGTGAAAGCCAGTGTTATGTTAAATTAATAGAAACATATCCATGTAATTTTAAAATCCCTTGCTTTTTTAAAAGAAGACACAAAATATTAAGGAAAACAATTGTTAAGCTGATCCTAAAATATATAAAATTATTAAACAAACTCAGATATTTAATGTTTGCTTTAATTTTTTAACATTAATAAAATTTGTATCAGTTCTTATTTTCTTCCCTAAGGTTATAATTCCATTTACCCAATTTGTGACAATGTGATTTAGTATAGAAAGATAACTGCACACAAACATGATTATGCAGATTCAGTTTACCAAGTGTAAGATTAACAATACCGATTTTAATAAAAATATTCCCGAATAAGCTTTTATTAGCTTTTTTATAAAATGGAACATATGTTTCAACTACTTCCAAGGGTCTGGTAATCGTTCATGAAAATGAAAAAAAATATATATGTTTTCCATACAAGCCTAAATTGTTCCACAAACATCTGGTAACGAAACTGTGCAAGCTGCTAGATTCCAAGCCAGCCCAGGTGTTCCTGCAACATCTCGGAGCTCAGCAGCTGCCTGCAGGGATTTGTTGCAACTTGTATGGGCATTTTACTGTTGGGATGAGGCACAGGGTGATGACATCATGTGCTCATGTTAGGAAGGTGCTGTGAATTCAGTGTGAAAAGCCCATCAATGAGTGATTGTTCCTGAAACTACTACCTTGGTGGCCATCACATTTTGCCAACTGAAACATCTGGGCGTGAAGTTAGCAGTGGCACACCTTGTAAATAACTTAATTGAAATTAATTGCCAAAAGTTTGCAGCACTCTAGGTAGTTTATAAGTGCCATTTCTTACTCTATTGCAATGTTTTGGGCTTAAGAATCTTGTGTTCTCAGATTTTGCTGCAGCAGCTGTGAAGAAAGTGAAAAATGTAGAAAATATATAATGAAAAGGCAGGAACTTAAGGGAAAAATAGAAGAAAGAAAAGTTCTGCTTTCTATACTTTCACTGATAAAATGTTCTTCTTAAAAGAAACAATTCCTAAGTTTTGTATAAAGCATTTTTAAAAAGCTGTTTGAAATGCTAGATATAGTTCTGTATTTCTCCAGAAAGAAATATCTAGTATTTGTATATAAGTGTCAAAACTTACTGTGTTCATAAAATTATTTGAAATTATAATCTCTAAAACCACGTGCTTCAAGAGAACAATAGCTGTCCTATGAAAAAGTATAGGAGTTTGTTTAGGAAATATAAGTCTTATTTTTCTATACAAACTCTTAAGCATTTAGAATAAGTTGTTACCTAATCCCTACATACTTTATAAATCCAGGGAAAGGTAACCACCAAAGTTGCAGCAGTGATGTGGAGTGCACACAGATAAATTGATACATAACCCATATAGCATTGTCAGGCTTTTAGAAATTGTTCAGTGTGTACAAATATCAGGGAATTGCTTCTTTCCTTCTTAGCTGCCCTTGTCTTTGAATTTTTGCTTCTTAAGAAAAGTTTTGCAAATGTAAACATGCTTAAAGATACTGTTTATATTTTAAAACTGATTCAAAACCATGAAAACCCAACTCATAAACTTGTTTATATTTTCCTTGAAACTGTCACAAGTCATATTGATAAACTGGTATGAACTTTCATGATGCCCTCAATATTTCTGAAAGTTTTATAAAAATCTATTTTAAAAAATGACTTATTTCATTCCATCTGTGGAATATGACAATCCGTATGATGAACTTCTTTCAAAGTTTATTTCAGTTATCTGAGTAACTCCTGGGGTGCAACCACATTGGTTTCTTTTTTTGCCATTTTCCCTTTCATCTTTCTTAAACTTTGTGCTTCAATAACCATATTTGCATTAATAACCAATTATCTATACTTGCTCTATAAATTAAAGGAGATGGAGTTTAAGTCATTAATATTGTAGAATATCTAAAGCTAGCAGTTGGTTTACTTCCATATAAAATAATTGCAACTATAAAAGTTTATTCTTCCTAGAGCTATGGCATATTTCATATCTACTTTTTCCCTTTAAGCATATGATCATAAAAATAGCACTTTATACTAATGATTTGCTTTGTTTTTGACAGCAGAGACACTTATGTTTGCAAATGAGCTTTTGATATAACAGTATACCAAATATAATCGGATACAGTGGTTAAGAAAAAGATTTGACATCTTTTCCTGAACAGAAAAGAAATTGCATTGCTACACCCACCCGTGAAAGTAACATTGGTGCTTTGTCATAATGGACACACTGTTTACTCAGAGTGAATGAAATGTTCTATTCCAATGTCAGAAAAGGGTTGCATTTAATTTTTGCTTTTGTTAGGAACATGTATGAAGAGTGGAGGCAAAGAAGTAGCTTTAACTTATGTTTTTAATCTTGAACATTTGAATTCCTATAAATTTCCTGGGGATAATACTTTAATGCTATCAGATCGAATTAAACACAATGGAGACTATGTAGAAGAAGGGCAGACAATTAACAGAGTCATATGAAACCAATGACAGTTGATTTTGAATCGGATTTCCACTCAGCTGGTTTTCACTACAAATGAAATACATTATCCAGTAAAAGTATATAAGTAGTTTGGAGTAAGAGAGCTCATGATTTTAGGATATATCTTCATGATTTAAGAGACAAAATAAGCCCTAGTTCTTGTTATTGATAAAAACAGCTTCATTTATTCAAGCTATAAAGGGATCTAGAGAAGAAAAACGATCAAGGGTGTTACTAAAGATTGCAGAATCAACAGACAATGTGGGAAGGTTGCAAGGAACAACCTAAGCAGCGCTAGAAATAACGAGTAAGATAAGGGTTAAATCCTGAAGCAGCCAGGTAAAAGACACCTCTAAAACAGAAATAAATGAACAGTTTCAGTTCTTTTCATGATGCAGCATTTTTCCTTGCTAATATAGAATTTGTACGTTGTAGGAGAGAGTGACTTAGCTTTAAAAATAAGCAACAACCTCTAAAACAAAACAAAACCAAAAACCCTGCACAAAACCCGAAGCTGTAAGTTATGGAGACCACACCTCATCCATGGTATTAAGCGTTCAGACAGTGGTTACCCCAGGAGGATGGGGAGTGATAGAATATAAGAAAGGTTTTTGAGATTCTGGTAGTTTGCTTCTGACTCTGTGTTGGTCACAAGAGTCTATTCCAGTTTGTTGATGTTCACTGAGCTGCACGCACACTTTGTGCACTACCACAATTTCTATGTGCAAAATATCTGCATAAAATTGAAAAGAAAAAAAATAGAAAATTGTTTATTGATATTTAAGAGATGTCTTCCTTTTATTGTTCTAGCAAGCTTTCTCAGTTTTTTCTTACTACCAGAGCCGCTACATTGCAATAGCCCCCAAACACTAGCATTCCATAGATTCCCAAATTGCCTTATGTCCAATCCAGCGTTCTAGCTCTCCATAAGATTTCTAATGATAGTGCTGCCATTTCCTCGTCACTCTTTGGTTCGTACTTCTTATGACCACTCTGATCCCTTTGGCTCTTGGTCTTTTCTTTTTTTTTCTTTTAAAAATTCTCTTATTGTGGCTTTGGCTTTACTATATTTATCTGGCTCTAGTTCTAATTATGAAGTAGTTTTTCTTAGCCCCCTTCACTAGATTTTATTCTTCCCAGTGCTCCTTAAATATTGGTGTTTTTCTGTGTGGTATTGTCTACCTTTTCTCCTTCCTATCCTCTTCCATAGGAATCTGATTCAGGGGCTTTACATCCAGTGAGTGGTAAAATTCATGCGTTCAAACCTGAGGTCCAGTTTGAATTGTCTACTTGATATTTCTATAGAAATATATCTGTTTCAGTATAAAAGTATTGTCTAACCTCAAAAATTTTCTCCTTTATTTTCAGTCGTAATTGAGTCTATTTTAATCCATTCATCCAACATGAATATTTTGAAAAATTCTCTGTTCTTCTGTCCTTTTTCTCTTCCAATCCACACAAAAATAAACCAGCATGTTTATTATTAATATTAACTAAATATTTCTCAAATTTACTCTCTCTTCTGAATTCCAGTGACACAGGTTTAACTCAGACCTTCATATTTTTATTCCCCTAAAATATTTTTATATCCCCCAAACAAGTCTCCCACCTCTGCTTTGAACATTTTTACACTGCTTTTTTACACTGCTGTTTTTTACACTGCTGCTCAAATCCTCACACTGTTATTCATGCTGTTAATGGCACCACTCAAA